AGAGGGGAGCCCCGGTGAGACAGGTGGTGGTCAGCAGAAGATCCTGAACACAGCAAGTCTGTGGCCATAACGGAGGGAGCTGAAGGCAATGAGCCTTTGACAGCCTGAGGAATGGGCTGGAGAGCAGGAGAGCCGGGAGGAGGGGCAGAGCCATGAGGGTTCAGTGGCAGTCCTGGCACAAGGCGAGGAGAGCTGGAAAGGAGTCCCAGCCATGGGAAGGGAAAGCTGAGGGTGCCTCTGGGAAGATTCCAGAAAGAAAAAGTGGGAGACTTTGTGGCTGAGCAGACACAAGGGTAAAGAAGAGGGAAGGCTGAGGCCTTGTGGTCTCTGGGCTCCGTATCCAGAAACACCAGGGGGCAGCCAGACCAAAATGGCAGAGCTGGGAAGGGTAGTCAGTCTGGGTGAAAGACGAGTTCAGTTCTGAACATATGTGCTGAGTTTGAGATCAAAGCGAGACAGCCGAGGGGAGGTGTCGCACGGAAATGTGACGACGTTGAACTGGAGTTCGAGGAGGAGGTCTGGAGCCCCCTTCAGCGAGTAGTGGTGCACCGTGGAGCAGACCCTGGGCTGAAGTTAGAGAGTTCAAAAAACAAAGAGAAGCACATGGCGCTGCCCCTGTGCTCACCCACTCTGAGGGTCGTGAGAAGAGGAAGAAGACAGGAGCAGAAACACGGAGAGAGGACCAGGACGGACCCGGGTCCCAGAGTTCGGGCCAGAACAATGGAGGGAAATGCAGGCTGGAACTGGCTCAGTGTGTACCAGACTATCAAAGTCTTCACCCCAAAGTCATTCCTACAGCGTCAAAAGCCTCAGAAGAAATTCACCATTAAAACATGTTCCGGGTTATATCCCTTTTCATTGTATGCATAAGAATGGTAGGAATATGTCTTTTGTATTGTTCTATAGTTGACATTTTTTCGTGGTTGTTTAATAAGAGCAGGAAGAACAATGCCCGAACATTATTTTAAGCATTCTATTGTTACTTGAGCTGACTCTAGCCCAAGAACTCAAAATACCAAACCTGCTTGTGAGACATTTTAATGAGGTTAATCCTTCTTCAATTTGGGGAACAATTATAACAAATATCAGGGAATTCATCGAAACCACTGTGATCATTTATTCACTTCTTGATGTTCTTCTACTGTCTACCAAGGTTTGTCTTGGAGTGTCACTGGGGGGTTCCATTTGTCTGCAAAATCTTTACCAGCTCTTAACTAAATAACTGAACTTATTATGACCATCCTTGCCAGTTCTCAGAAATTTGCCAACAGTCTTGTTAATGAATAATGTAGGGTTTTGTGAATTCCCTCATGGCCTGGCCCACGTGAAGGTAGGTTTTCTGGGTCAGTTCCTAAAGACACTCCTGACTAGAATCAGTCATCCATGCTGCAACTTTCCAAACATCCCAGCCTGCCTACCTGCCACCTCCAAGAAAAGGGACGTTACCACACGGTGGGGCCTCAGCTGGAGCTGGGAGCTCTTTTTTTTATCACTGGTCCCCTAAACCCTGCCCTTACAATTCTTTCCACTCATCTGAGAGCAAAGTTCAGTCACCAAGAATGTTAGTCATAGAAACAACGACATCTTGGTGTCTCAAAGGAGCAAGCTTAAGGTCATCTTTCAGTGCAAAGATCCTTAGACTTGAGAGCAGACAGGCAGAATGGCCATGCCTTCTGTGTGCGGTACACCATCAGAGCACACGTGGAAATGATATGCTGGTGTCTAGCTCCTATTTCTCCCTCATATTTCAGAGGCAGAAGACCCTCCCAGAAGTTTCTTCTGAGTTCCCCAAAGCTGGATTCAGTGTTCCTACAGCCTTTCATTTCCCTTGACTGTCGCATTTACCAGCCTGAGTTGGATTTGTCTGTTTCTTTTCCAGTATTTCTCACTAGATGTTCCTGGGGACACAGGGTGGGGTGACACAGGGTGTCGCACAGCCAGCACCTGGCAGGGTCATGGCATGAAGGAGGTGTTCCAGGTGCATATGTGGAATATACAGGAAGACAGGAACAGATCCGAGGAAGGAGCAGATCTGCCAGGGAAACTGAGGCATGGAGTTCGATGAGCACCCCCAAATCATCGGCTTAGAAGCAGACATAAAATGTAGGGTTCTCTGGTGCCTAAAGCACACTAATTCTGCATATACATGACTATTAATAATGTATAGCATTGACAGTTCTGAGTACATGAACACTGTGTCTTCTGGTTGGTCTTAAAGTTGCATCCCTTCACCCTAGTCCAATTCCATCTATTAATATAAAGAGCTTGCTGATGTAAGTAATAGCTTCACCAATATTACTCCTGAGATCCTGGGTGATGCTGCTCTTTTTGGGACTCATTCAGAATCAGCCTTCTCATCTAAACCACGTTTCCAGTAGAACATGGTCCATACATATACGGGAATGAAATCTCACTTAGTTTGAACTAAGTCATTCAGTCCCAGAGGTGGTGACTAATGGTCAGGAGATGACAATATTGCTGGACAACCATCACCACACTGAGGGGAAAGTTCACATTTCTAATCCGGAGAAATAATTTGTTAAGGAGCATGACATGGAACCAGCTAGAGGAGGGTGTGCAGGCTGCTGAAGGAAGAGCTCATTCCACCCACTGCAACTGCGTGACTAAGAGCAGAGGGTGCTCCCCGTCAGAACACCACTGGCACGTGTTTGTCTGGAGCCTGCAAGCTATTCCTCCTTTCTTGCTAAAGAAAAGCGGAGGAGGGGAGGAGCAGGGAATAGAGTGGTAGGTTCAGCATGGGATAAAATCAGTGGTTTAGAAAATCCACCCGTGAGTACGTAAATAATATGACCATAGCAGATACAGCAAATACAAAATTAAACAGCCTTTCATGTGGAAAAAAAAAATAAGTGCAATTCATGCCTGGCACACAGTAGGTGATGTCTCGGTGTACAAATGCAGGTGAAGTGTGATTCAGGCGGTCCAAAGGAGCGGTAAACCGACAGTCATTTCCACTGGCTTCTGAATCAGGATCTCATAAAATCCCCAGCATCTTATCATTCAAAATGTATTTTTAAATTATGTTTTGCTTGGGTCAGTATTGAAGCTATTTCAGTATTTTGGTATATCCAACAGCTGATTTTGGAAGGAGGTAAGTAAAAATGTTTTTGATGGCATGAAAAGTGAGACAAATTTTTAAATTAGGCAGATATAAGTTTTAAGTGATTTCCTTGTATTCCCATACGTCATCTTCATATTAAGCACTTTTCTCTAATTAAACCAAAGAAAACGCAGAGTAACGATAGTATCTGTTAGGTCAGCTGAGATCAGAAGTGCCCACACGCTGCATCTCTTAAAAACAGTCCATGGCACCTGGAGAGACATAGCAAAGCCCATGGCCAGGAATGTAACTCAGCTTTAGGAAATGATTAAAGGGAAGTAAAATCATCTCCAACTCAACATTAATGCATTTGATTTCCCAGGTGAGAACAGGAGTTTTTGTAACTGTGAGTGGTTCTTTCTTTCTACAGTCCTGGATGTTTGGAAAGTCAGCTCTTACAGTTAGCTTTGCTTTGCTAACATTATCCATCGGAAAATCGAAACCCAAACAGCTCCTATTTCCCAGCGAAGAACCTTCTCTGATCTACCTTGCCATCATCAGGCTTCACCATCTCACCTTGGAAGCATTCAATCTTTTGGTCAATATTTCTAGACCAAGTGCTCTCAAGCCTGCTCTTTGGAAAGTATTTTGTCATGACTACCAAAGAGTGTTTAAAGAACAGGCTGTGAAGTTTGGGGAGACTAGGCAGGGAGGAGCAATCCGAAGTTAATTGCTGATGTAATCATTAGTCCTTTCAATACTCAATGGAGAAGCTGCCTCCCGGGAGATAAACGCTCAATAACAAGACGTGTGTATAACACCAGTTTACTCTGGCATGTAACAGTTAACAATTTCTATAAAGTTAAGTGGATTTAGTGAATATCATTCTTCCAAGAGAGAAGTAAAAAAAATAATAAAAATTTAAGAGGAAAACAACATTAAGAAACAGTAAAAGAATGAGTGTGGAAAATCTGGTAAGTAACAAAAATCATCCTTAAGCATCTGAGGGGAAAACTGCAAAAAGCGTTCAGAAGCCACACCTTCCGGCCTTGGGACTGCATGGCTGTGACACTGAGCAACAGCTGAAGCCTTTACTCTCTCGGAGGGGAAGGAAAAAAGGAAACAACAGTCAGTCCAGGCTTGTCCAGGGCTGGAAGCCTCGACTCCTGCAAACCGATCTCCCAGATCCTTTCTGGGCAAGCACATAACCAGAGGAAATGAAAACTAGAAAAACAATTTGTGCATGGAACAATGACATGGAGTTTCACTTTGGTTTCATGCTCAAATATGAATGTGGCTGTAATTTTTAAGAAAAATATATTAATAGAAGGCAACGAGTTGAGGATGGTGGCTTCTTCAAGCCGGGCGTCCAGAAGAGCCCCATTTCTGCCTTGGAGCGCGCCTTAGGCAGCAGTCGTGGGAAAGCTCAGATACAGCTGTTTCCAGGCAAAGGGCCCAGAGCTTTTCAGCCTCGGTCACCAGGGTCTCCAGACAAGGAGAAATACGCCCAAAGCTGTTCCCAGACGCTCTGGGCTAGAAGCTCCCCGTGCGCGCTCCCGCCCCTCCAACTCCCAACTCCCTCGCGCACCCGGGGCGGGTGAAGGCGCCCAGCCGCCGAGCATCCCCGCGACGCGGGTTCAAATCCCGCCGGCTCCCGGGCACCGTCGCCCCGCCACAGCGCGGGCTGTTTCTCCTCCTTTCCCCGGAGGAGATCCCTAACTCTCCAGTACCCACACCATAACAAAGGAGGCTCGGTCCACCGATGCGCGATCGTAGCCCACAGGGACCCCCAGCGAGCACTGGCCCAGAGAATGCACCTGGCCGCGCCACGCACGACCCCTAAGGGGCAGGCGGGCGGCTCCCGGAGCGGACAAAGGGGCCTCACCGGGCGCCCGGGCTCAGGGCTGGACGCGGGGAGCGGAGCCGGTCGGGGACTCACCTTCGCAGCGGCCCGGCTGCGCTCCTCGTGGAGCAGAAGGGCGGCGGGCAGCAACAGAAGCCAGACGCCGAGCCGGGGCCCCATGGTGGCGCGCCCGAGGCGGCGGGGGACGGCGGGGGACGGAGGCCGGGCGTGCGGGGGCCGCGGCGGGCAGCTCGCTCTCGGAAGGCCGGGCTTCCAGCGCTGCGCACCGTCCCGGGTGCGGCGGCTCCAAGAGGAGACCTGAGCGCGGCGGGCCGAGCTCCCCAATTTGTTGCCGCTGCCCCCTCCCCCTGGCGCTGCGCGGGCGGCGCCTCAAAGGGGAGGACCCTGCGGCGCGGGTAAGAGGCGGCGGGAGCGCGCAGCCAGGGAGTGTGGCCGCTGCGCGCCGGGACACCAGGGCTCCGCGCTCCGCACCCAGGGGCTCCGGCGTCCCAACACCCTGCGCCCGCGCTCTCGCCGATCCAGGCCAAGGCTCCAGAAAGGCCGCCCGAGCCCCCGAAACCGGCGCCCAGGGAGCCCAGTGAGGGCGGCCGCGCTGCGGGTGTGCGCCGGCGGGTGCCTCTGCAAGGGCCAATGCGCGCGGGCCGCAGCCCCTGAAGCCGAGCCCGAGGTGAGAGCGACCCCCGAGCGGCGCCCAGACCCTGGTCCAAGAGCTCGGGCTTAGAGCGCCCTGTGCGGTCTGGGGCTGAGTGCTCCTGCCTGGGAGTAGAAACCGGGAGGGTGGGAGAGCGGGGACGGGGCTTCTCGGCCAAGCAGCACAGACGGGGGCCTAACGGGAGGTTCTCCTTCTTTCCGGGTTGTAGCGGGACGACCCTCCGGTCACCCCTGCATGCGGGGGCGCCCCGCGCTGTCCCCGCGTCTCGCGGACCGAGACCGGCGGTGAGGATGGGCTGCCTCCCTCATCCTGCGCTGAACTCGCTTTGTCTCTCACCTCTAGGCTAAGCGGGACTGACCCGGGCCCAGAGCCGACTCACACCGCCAGCATGGGGAGAAACCAGCTCGCGGCGGCCGGGCCTGCCCTACCGCGGTAAGCGACTTTCTGCCTGGTCCCCGTGGGTCCGGCGCGCAGGGACCTTTCTATGTAGCTCTTGGGGATTGACAAACCGGGCCCGCGCGTTCATGTCCCTCTTCCTCCCTTTCCCATTCAGGTGGCTGCTGCTGGGGACCGTGACCGTGGGGTTCCTCTCCCAGAGCGTCTTGGCGGTAAGTCCTGGCCCCGGCCCCACGCTCTCGGACTTGCGCTCCGGAGAGTGCTGGGGACGTTTGAGTGGCCTGGCAGAAGGCAGCTCGTCCGGGCGCTCCCGCGCGTGTGTGTCTGCGTGCGGGCGTCCGCCAGCCTGCCCACCCAGGTTCTGAGAAAACTCGCTCTTCCCGCGCGATGTCTTCCACCTTTCCTTCCCAGGGGTTCCCCGCGTCAGTCCTGTTCTTTGCAGGCGTCCGCCCTAAAGCTGAGAACTTCACATGTAGCCTAAGGCACCGTTTACTCGCTTTGAACAAATATGCAGCCACAGAGGCGAGGGAAGAGTGTCAGTCCCTGGCAGTGAGGCGCCAGGCTTAGGGCAAGAAAAAGTTTTCCTGGAACTCGGGAGCTGGTGGGGAGGCTCTGTCCAGGGCTGAGGGTTTTTTGTGTTTTTAAATGGGAGGCTCTGGGTAAAGGGGCGGGGCGAGGAGGCGAACAAGACAACCTTAGTATTGTTTGAACTGAACCATTGCAATGGAACAATGGCAGAAAACCGCGTTCTCTCCGGAGTCCTGGTCCGGCCTGGAAGAGCGGCTTCGGGCGCCCCCGTGGGACCCTGTTGCCGGAGCCTGCCCCTCCACGCCGGCCATGCACAGCCCCGCGGTACCGTGGCTGCCGTTGGCGACTGCACTGCGAGGCTTTGCACATTTTAAACGTTTTGTTTAAAGAGTGGGAGCCACTTTTACTGAGCTTTATGTAACCATGGCTAAAATGAACAGGTTTGGTGGGGGTATTCCGCTTAGGACTCAAATGTTTAGACAGACCCTGAAAGCGGAGGGAGCTTGGGGGATGCCCGCTGCCCCACCTCTCCTTACTGTGGCCTACGGAGCCTGCGGCGGCCAGGGTCCAAGGGGATTCCTCCTGGAAACAACCCCTCCCTCAGTGCGCACTGTTTCAGAGCACCACCAGGGACAGAGGGGAAGCGTGTTCGTGATTACGTCGTTCTGCCCTAAGGCAAAACAAACCAGGATTTTAAAGGCAGTGAGTGACAAGGAGCTACTCGCACTGGGGAAAGAGCTGCTAACTTTGCTTTTCCGCTGCTGTTGGCTCCGGTTCAAGGCCCAGGTTGGAAAGTAAAAGGAGAACTCGGAGACTTTGACCAGAGCCCTGCAGGCCAAAGTTTTCTTCAAATTCTGGTCTGTGTCTCCGTCCTTCTCCCAGCCCTAACTTAAGATCGGAACCTAGATAGTTGAACTAGCCCAGTGACCCTGTGAATTCTAATGCACAGGCCTGTAGGCATATAAGACGAGGCTCGGATTTATGAACCAGAAGCGACAGATGCATGCGCACACACACGCACTCAAAGGCAGACGTTCCTAGAAAGTACCAAATCGGGCTGCGTGTGCTTCGGTTGTACCGATGCCCGCATCTCTCTGTCTCTAGAGTCACTTTTATAGTATCTGTCTGATCGTGCTTAAGGCTGGTGGGAGTCCTGGAAATTCTTTTCTGAACTCATCCCAAAATTGGTGGAAAGACCACCAGGCACCTAGGTCTTCAAAAGACCCAACTAGCCTGGGCGAGCGATGCACACCTGTAATCCTAGCACTTTGGGAGGCTGAGGTCTGCTGATTGCCTGAGCTCAGGAGTTCGAGACCATCCTGGGAGAGATACGGTAACACCCTGTGTCTACTAAAAATATAAAAAATTAGCCAGACCTGGTGGTGCCTGCCTGTAATTCCAGCTACTCAGGAGGCTGAGGCACAAGAATTGCTTGAACCCGGAGGCAGAGGTTGCAGTGAGCCAAGATTGCACCACTGCACTCCAGAGCAAGATTGTCTAAAAAAAAAAAAATTTAGTTTAATTTAAAAAACCCAAACCTAGGTACTAAACATAGCTCTGCTCTAATCTCTTAAATCCAGAGCCTCAGTTTCCATACTTTGAAGTATGGCTTCTTACAGAGGCCAAGTACCGTAAGGGAAATGAGACACCTCTATGCCTCCCCAAAACCTCATCAATGCTGCAAGCTCACCCTCAGTCTCTTGTACCCTTTGATCTCTGGGTGGGACCAAGATGATTGATTGCCCAGCAGAGCTTCGCAAAGTGCACGTCCCTAGACACGCAGACCTAACTCACCTGGAAAGGCTTGGTAAGAAGTAAGGCCCCCATCTCAGACCTTCCGGTCAGACATTCTGGGGTGGAGTCCAGGACCCTGCTTCGCACATGAAACCAGAATCTGGGAACCACTGAACTGGGGTACGGGGCTTGGGAGGCAGTTGAGACAACCTGCCAACTCACTTTATTTCCCTGGGCTTTCGATTCTAACTCTACAAATAAAAATTGATATTTTTAATCATTTCACTAGGGACCTACTAGTGTGTGTTGTTAAGAGACTTGCACGTTGTTGCTTTCAGCAAGGGGCTGCTCGTTAACTTCTTGGTAACCACTGGCTTGAATGGCTGTTCCTTGTGAAATAAGGCTTTGATTTTCAACTGTATTGATGAAAGAGTTTTCTTAATTGTGACAAGGACTTTTTCCTGGGTAGGTTAGTTCAGGAAAAAGGGCTGCCGCTCGGTGGTTGAAGAGCTTGGTTGCAGAAGCAGCTGGGATGGGTAGTGAAGCGCCCCAGTGATTGCTGATTGAGCACTTCCTGTGTGTAATTTGTCTGCCCTACTGCTTGTGATCCTCACAGGAAAACATATTACCCCGTTTTACAGGTGAGAAAAGGCACAAAGCTTTGAAGCCCTTGCCCAAGATTCCTGTCTTTGTAACTGAATGAGATGGATTGGCACCCAGGCCCCTTCCTCCACACTGAGCTTCCCAGGGCCTGAAAGCTGGCCGGGAGGGCACTCCTGAGCTTCAGTCTTTGAGTCTCCTGGGGTGTGGGTTCTGTCTCCCTGGTCTTGGCCCTGGACTGACAGTAGAGCTGGCACTGACTCCTAGGAGGGAGAATCTCCCCTCCCTCCTCCTCTGCTTCTCCTACTCTGACGATCAGGGGCACTGAGTGAAGGAGAGAAGCAAGACCCTTCCCGAAGGGAGCAAAGGGAGCTGAAATCCCACGGGGTGGCCTGTGCTCTGGACTCAGCGTGAAGCCCGCTGCTCCGCATGGGCACTCAGGACCCACTCCCTGCTGTCCATGATGCCTTTTCTAAAGGTGCCCTTGTTTGAACCCAGTTTCAAGATGCACAAAATGCTTTCGTGTAAGGCAGCGTGACACAGGGGCCCCATCCCAGACTCGAGGCAGGTGCCGGGGTAGTTCTGAGCTGGTGGGCAGCTGAGGGGCTGCCGCCCAGAGTGCGCCCTCGCCAAGCCTCCGCATCCTAGTTTTCCCCCAAGGCAGAGGTGTTACTCATCCCACCCGCCTCATAGGTGGGGCGGCTGTGAGCTGTGTGGGTGCATGCGAAGCACCCTGGAGGCTCTGGCACTGCCTGGGTGCCAAGCAGTGTCCCCTGGGCCTGTTTAAGGGACAATCCCCTCGGCTACCTGTGGTAACCTTCATGGAGGCTGAAAAGTGCTCACTGCAGCCACTCTGAGCATTGTCACTTGTCTCTAGAGGGTGGGCAGCAGCCTTGAGGGATCAAATACGCAGCAGGCTGGGCATATTCCTGGGACCTCTGCCCCGGACCTGGGGATTCTTGTAGGTATCAGTGTGGGGCCCCTGCCTGCCACTTAATTTTTAGGCCGCCCTTGGGGTACCAGCCCCAGGAAACTCGCCTGGCCCTCCTGTTGGCAGCCACCACCTTCTCTGTCCTCCAAACCGGCAGCCACAGTGGCAAGTCCTTTCTGAGGGCTTTGGGATGAGGAGGAGAGGTGTTCAGTGCCGCCTGAGGCCCCGAGCTTTCTCTAAGGATCAGGACAAACAGTTCTTTCTACATTCCCTGGAGCCTAAGCCCTGTTACTCAAAGACGGGCCCCTGCAAACAAGGGAAAAGCATGGGATTCCTCCCTTGCTCGTGGACAAACTCTCAGCACATCTCAGCTCTCTGGAGGCTAGTAAAGTCTTCCTCCCTGGGTGGCTTGTAGGACTCAGCCATGATAAATAATAGCAGAGATTTGTCAACAGCATCCCAGAACGAGAGGTGGGTAGGAGGGGCAAGCCGGAAAGCGCGGGGAAGGGAAAGAGTCTCAGTGCGACCCGGCGGCTACGTGTGGAGCCAGAGAGAGAGGTGAAGATCAAGCAAAAGGTTCTAGAATAGAAAAAAGGATTTTGCTAAAATAATAAAAAGCAAAGAACTGTGTTTAACTTTGTTTCTGGGGAGAGGGAAAGAAAATGGGTGTGCGGTTTAAATAATCGAGAAACTCAACGGAAAAATTAAGTGCCGCGGAGACACTGTTGATAATCTAATGAAGAGATCACCACCTGCAAGCGGTCCAGGAATGTCTCGCTCTTTTTATCTGGAGAAGAATGTTTGTCTTTGATTAGAGGGTTTTGGAGAAAGCTCTGAAACTGGCCTCTTGCTTCGTGTCTGCTGGTGCCCGTTGTGTGGTCACTGCTGAAGGTGGGAGTCACTGTCTGTAGCTCCTGGCCTTGGCTGATTCGGCTTGTGAATCAGGGCCCAGGAACTACACAGCAGTCTTAGGAGGCCATAGCATCTGACCCAGCCTGCTGCTAACCGGGTTCTGGCTTCAGGGCAAGTCACTTCCCATGCTCAGGCTCTGGGGCTGGGACGAGAATGTTGTGTGGTATTGAGCTCTCAGGCGAGCTGGAGAGTCAACAGTGAGGGCCAGGCCCTGCAGCTGTGCTGAGACCTGTGAGGGTGAGCTGGGGTCTCTGCTGTGACGCTGCGGATGAGAAAGCCCTTCCAAGCAAGCTCCAGAATAGAACTTATTCAGCCTGGACCAGGACATTGCTTAGAATTCAATATGCCACATGGGACTTTCTGTCCTCATGGTGTGGAGAAGCTTCCAGAATCCAATAAATACGTGACACTTCTCAGTTGAGATGAGAGAAAGGGCAGAGTTCCTGGACAGTCCCCTCTTGCTGTTTCCCTGTGGCGGCCGCTCCCTCCAGTTAATGAGACCCTCTC